GTGCGGTGGCACCCAGCTTGATGGAATGAATATATTCGCCGTAGAGTAGACCAGCTTTTAGAAGAATATTGTATAACGCTGGACCTGCGTGAAATGCCGACAGCCTTGAAAACTGCGGTGTGAAATAAAATTTCGAGCTGGTTCGACCTGCTCGTATTTTGTTCTCTCTGTCACGCGCTGTCCGAATCCCACAAAATTTTCTCGTGAAACGTCCGCTTCAATGGTGATGAAAAAATTACGGCGTTAACCGCGAAAGTGTGTCGAGTTAATTTTCGGTACATTTCTCCCGCGGGTCTCCGTTAAATGCACTGTTTTTTCACTCGGGGATCGTTAAAGCTACGCGAGTATAATTTAATAATTAAGCATACCGGAAACGCTTGCTCATCGTTGTGCCGAGGGTTGGGAAAAACCGACGGTGAGAAAACGGAAGGCGAAAAAGAGAGGCGGCGATAAGATGCCTTCGCTAAGAGTTAAATACGTTCTAGCTCATTTATCGCGCACCGAGCACACCGCGCTATTAGCGCGTCCTAACTGGAGAAGACTTCGCAGACGTGATCCAAATGTCCTGGTACGTACATACGTCTATTTTCTTCGTTTATTCGGAATAAAGCGAGAACGTCTTTTATAAAGAGAACTTTTATTATCTCCTTTTAATGTACAAGGTGTAACTGAAATAACGCCTACTAATCATACAGTGCTATTCTTAATAAAAAACTAAGTTGAAAAGTCCTCTATCATTTTGCAATTTTCGCAACAGTTAACGAGATATTAATTTCCAAATATTGCCGAATAAACGGATAAAATCGATCTAAAATGATGAAGACAATTTTAAGATGTCTGTTCTTTGTGAAATATTTTGAAGATTTTTTTTTTAAAACTCTTAAAGATATCTTAAAGCTGTCTTATACGTCAATTTTATACATTTTGCTCATTGGGTAAACTAAAAAAAAAATATTGCGAAAATTGCAAAAATGGTAGAGGACTTTTCGTCTCAGTTTTTCATTAGAAATAGCACTATATGATAGGACACAATTCAGTTACACTCTATATATATATCGAAAAGATTGGAATACGTTTTCAGATAATGTCACTTGCGTTTACATCCGTCACTCTGAGAGTTATTAAAGATACCGAGATCGTGTTCTTTTTTTAGTAAGCTAGGAACGGCAGTTCTTTTTAAGTAAATTCGAATTTCGCAATTGAGATCGCATGAAATAGGAAAATCAAATGAGACGTCACCTGTTCCGAATATTTAAGGACGTTAAATACAAATTGAAGTAAAGTCCTGCAACGTAAAATGAAACAGTCGTTATGAGAGACGGAAGTTTTTTCCGTGGAAAAACGTTCAGTTGAAAACGATCGATGGAGCAGATGCCGAGCGGCGTTCGCGTGCGCTAAAGGGGTCTTTGTGTCTTTTCTCGGATACTTATATTGACATGTATATGTACTTTCAGGCGAGTCCTTTTACAGTACGGCGGCGCGCGATTCTGAAGAGCCGCGCCTCGAGGCGCACCCGGGTTATGGCGCAACCGAAATTCGTAACCAAGAAATACGATCCCGCGTAAGTGCACAGTCGTTCGCTCTTGTACTCGTCAGGTTATCGCAAGTCCTCTAGAAAATTTATTATCGCGTAGAGCGGCGCCGCCCCTTTTCCCGCGTATTCACCCCAAGACGCTCGCAGCGAAGAGCACCAAGCGTATCGTCGATCTGGCATTGCCCAAGAGAAGGTGCACATCTATTTCCTCGATGCTGAAGACTGTCTCGATAAGAAACTTTAGTTAAAAATTATTATAATAATATTATTAGGAGAGATTCCAAAAGGCAAAAATCGAAAATACCAACATTCTCTCTAAATTTGAATCAGTGGAGTCACTAATTACTAAGTGGCATACTTTGCACTGATAATCAATGAAGTTCAACTAAAAAAGGAAGAATGTTTGAGCATTATATAACTAAAATACTGATATTTGCACGTTAATTTCAATCTTCCAATACGATATTCATTGAATTTCAGCAAAACAAGGTTAGTTAGATCACACCATAAAGATTAGTTAAGTTAGGAATCTCACATTTCATTCACTGATTATCAGTGACATATTTGGCACTGATTATCCACTGATTCAGATTTAGAGAGTTTATTTTAAGATGCTCTCGCATATTATTATTTCGCATTTTTAGGTAAAGTTGTTTAAAAGTATTCAAAATATAAAGATTATATTTGCGGTTTTAACGTCACTCGCACTTTCGATAATGTCAGAAAATTGATAGCTAAGACTTGATCGATGATATATGTATGTGTGATATAACTTTAAAGCGATATACCGTAAACGTTAGACGTCTGCTGGAGACGAGGAAATTGGCAGCTACCAAAAACATGAAGGCAACCGTGAACGATCTGCTGGTGAAGGTTCGAAAGTCGCGGTACCAGCGGTATCGTCTATTCTGCAACGCGCGTCAAGAGCGAGAAGCTAGGAAAAAGTAAGACCGATACATTTTCCACTATCATATCACTTTTTCCCTGCGAACGACATTGGCACACGCGGCATCTAGGCACACAATCTTTTCGCTATATTCATACGAGTAGTGAGCATATTGCAGTCTTCGACGACGAACGAGAGGGATACGGAAAAAATGCAGGCTATTTTAATCGCCGTGGAAATTACAAGATTAAATAATTGAATTGTCATATCAAAGTTCCTTTTTTATCCTTTTCGCTTCTTCTCTTCTTTTTATTATATACTTCAGTTTCAGGAGAGTGTTGTGAAATTTAATGAAATGAAACCCGGATGTAAACTCGGCAGCAAAGTAAATAATTGAACTATATATATGGACAGGAATTAATTACTCGTTGAATAATTAGCTTGATTTTATAAAGGCACAACAATACCGGTGGGCAAGTAACAAAACGTAAGCTTATAAACCCTCCTATATTGATCGCATTGCAACTGGATGCAAATTTTACGTTTAATTAACGAAAGGTCATCTGATATTGCATCGGAAGTGATTATTAATAGTGCACAATGAAATTCGAGAGATTATCCTGGGCATTTATTGCAATGGTTACAATCATTGATCAGGTCACAATCAGGAACATCAATTTAATAGTTCTCTATGATAGACCGCGATATACAATATATATATATAGAACATTCCGCCACAGAACTACAATTCGCCACACTTTTCATCCTTATAGATTCTTTAATTTTTCATTAGTGGCTAAATAATCATCTCAATCAAAATTATATCGGAAATATCTCTATCACTTTCAAAGAGTTTGAAATTATCTAACTGTTAGAAAAAATATAAAATTTTTTTCTTTTTATCATTACCAGCAGTTATGGTATGAATAGTTTATAATAGTTATTATCACTGTCGTAATTTGTATAACCGACATTGATAAACCGCGAATGCTGCTAATAACGCAAGTTTTCTTAAGCCACTAATGAAACGTTAATTAATCTCTGGTTGACTTTTTCCTCAGTAAAGCGTTTTTAAACTCAAATTCCCGCGATAAAATGCCTCGCTTTCGTATACCTAGGAGAAAACGAATGGCGAAACTACGCAGAGCTCTCACAAAACCAGAAGACTGGCAAAGGCACATGCGGGTCCTGGAGAGACTAGCTGCGCCCAAAGTCGTCGCAAAACCCAAAAAGAGGAAACCCGTAAGCGACGTCGTTTCCACTCTCTCATAAATCAATATTAATCTATCTAGATAAAAATGTTCGATGCGTCGTGAATTCCGGTGACGAGGCCGCCCGTTCACTTATTCGCTCGATCGATCGCACGTTCCGATATTTTCAGAGTAAGAAGAGGAAGTGGAGGCCGGTCAATTTAGAGCGAGTGTACTTCTTGGCTTTACCATTGATTCGAAAGGATATCGTACTAAAAGATCCATTCAAGGTAGCTGAGCACGCACTCACCTATATTATCAGCAAGCGAATGGAGAGACTCTCGATTCGAAAGATACGTCCGGAGATTCCATTGCGAATACCAGGCGCCGTTTCGCCGGCCGCGATGAAAGCTATAGGTAGTAACACGCACTTCGTCACTACATTTACAACCGTTACCATTTGCTTCGCCGTCACAATTCTTCCGCTTCGATTTCTTCGCTCGATATCTGGAGGAATTGTGCGGCGATCGATCCGAAGGAAGCGACGTTTTCGTTGTCGCCTATGCAGCTATGTAGGGTCTACCGCGCACCAATACTATTACACGTGCTATTGGATGTCGTAAGTAAGCTCATACGCAGGGTGTCCCAACGGACATCTTCCCGTCGAGATTCAACGCGAGCTCTGACTGCATTTTTCCCTGACGAGCGTTTCATGAGAAAAGTCACGCTATTTGTTAGGAATTTTTAAATATAAATTTCAACGGAAATACTTGAGCTGAGAATCGAGCGTTGAATTAAAATGCCGATGTATTTATGTCTCATTAAAACTAACTGAAGAGCAAGTCTTTGCATTTATGATGATAGAAAAGCGATCGCATTTTTTAAATATCAAACTAAATATTAAATAAAATTCTAAATTTCTCAATTAACTTTATTGTTATTTTTCTTCATTTATTCTCTACTATTCGTGACGAGCATCGGTATCGTATCTCTCTGTGATTTTGAGACACCCTGCGTAGCAGAGATCCGTGATTTCGTCGATCCCACACCTCGCTACATCAAGAAAGATTACGGATTTGCACGTCGATGTGCGCTTACGACTCTTGAATAGCTTGTGCGGTAAATGGAGCTTTCGCAAGAATTTTTACATATTGCGGAATAAAAATAAAATTGACTATATATTTTTAACAATCGTAAAACAAGCGTATACCTTTCAGCATCCAGCATCGATGAAAAATAAATCTCGACCGAATTACGGTTTTGGCAACGTCGACGAGTAAAAAATATTTTTTATATAGGATCGTTAATTGATTTGGAAATTCGGTAAAAATTTACGGAATTAATAGAATCCCGTATACGGTATACACACCTCTGGTAATCGATCGGCGTCGAATATTCCACTATTAGTTTAGGGTATCACTGAATTCGTGATATAATGCAGAATTCGCGTTATCTTTCCGTTCAACCATAACTGCGAGGTAACGATTTTGTAGCGTTTGATATGGACACAGGAGAGATAAACGGGACACGATCTACACATTAAGCCTGCGGCACACTAAACGTGTTTTGTTACCGATCTGCTAGCGATGCCGCACTATGCTTACCATGCTGCTCGATGCAGACTATCCTGCAGCGTTATTCCATACCATAATGTTAGTGGCATTCTCTCCGGTATTGTAATTATTTAATGAGGAGCGTCGCTCGTAGTGACATCGTCGTTTGTTTTCCGATGCTATCTCTCCCTCGATAATTCTTCTTCGTCACTTACGCCTTTGCACAATTTTTCCGGTGTATATGTACCTTTGTTATACATTCTATCACTATATTTTTATATAACTTTTATTTATATCAGTATTTTATTTTATTAACTATTCTCACCGGATTTTTCATGTAGAATTTTTCTTTTTTTTTTCTACATTGAATGTTTGTAACACATTTTATTATTATCGTTTATTTTTATTTATTTTCTTTCATTTATATGTTGATCTTTTGCTGCTTCAGCTACATCCTATGATTCTATTTCTCTCGCCCCCCGAGAGTGAGAGAAAAAACTCAAATTCCAAGATCACGTAATAAATGACATTTATCATCTATCTTTCGTACAATTCAGTTATTTCGATTTTCGCTTCGACGACGCGTATATCGTGTCCTACCGCGCACGATTACTCGGCCGCGTCTGATTAAATGTCTTCTTCCCTTATCAATCGATTCGAAGGTAGATTAATTTTCCTTTGAACTATCATCACCACTGTACAGGCAGAAATATAAACAAACGGATCTTAAAGAATTCAAAAGTCGATTGAAATATATCGAAGTCAACCAAAGCTTCCCTTCCTTCGTCTCTCTTTCCTCTTAGAATCCTCGATCACTTCCCTCGCCGTCCGTCGCATCCAACTTTCTCTGTAACATATTCCTGAAGAGATGCCTCCTCAAGTTTCTCTTCGAGCTGTCGTCGGGCGTAACCGACGTCCCTCGTCGCTGACGTGAAATTTAATTTCGCGTACGAGACGTTGCTTGATACAAAACGTGCATCGAGTCTTTCGGCGATAATGGGAAATGCGTACACAATGCCTCCCCGGAAGATAGCCGGGGCTGGTTTTAATTTTCACGTATAATTGCGCCCGACGAGTCACAGCCGATGCACAACATTTTCCCATTGAAATCCGTCTGTAATAAAATACGAGATGCGCGGCAGCATAGTAGTGTAACGATCGCGCGCAACTTTTACAATATATCTCACGCGCGCTCTGCGGCGTCTATGAAGTAAAAGACGTAAATCAAAATATACATTCTACCTTCACGAGAAGCGAAGGAAGATTAAAATATTAAATATTAAACAAATTTTTAGCCGTAGTTAATATTTTGAAAAAAATTTTTCACCTGTGGTCTTCTTTCCATTTCAATTTTGACAGATGACTGTATAAATTTTATAAAAATACGAATCGATTGTATGAAATTCAAATCGTTTTGTTAGAATATTTTCAGTCGACATAATTTCAATGTAAATTAACGTGACATTTTCCCTCTCTCTCTCTCTCTCTCTCTCTCTCTCAAAGCCTTTTATCTCATTAGAAATTTATTTATTTATTTATGAACGTTTGTAATTGCAATTGACACTGGCATAAACGCACTGCATGCGTTTAGAAATTTAATCCGTATTACTATTACATACGCATATAGTCATCATGTAACAAAGCAACTAACCAACTAATCAAACAAATATCACACAACTGTGGTTTATGTACAAAATGAAATTCAAGCGAGATTATGGTTGCCATTAGAGAAGCACATGAAATAATTTATATCATATTCATTCATTTGCCGAACAGTTAGTTTTACTTGGCGGCCTTAATCCCGTTGATAAGAATAAGCCGGCGGAAAACCGATGTTAATGGATAGGATTGAGAGCATACAGCGTAAGGTATAACGTTTAATACCGTAGCTTCCCAGAGAGTAATCGCTTTGGCGAAGCCCGCCAAACGTCCGGAGGGTAGAGAAACGGATCTCCGAGAGGATGCCTTCACTGTGTCGCCGATGGCGTTAAAGGCGAAATGCTCCAAGCGTCTCAAAAATCTCGCCAAACCGAAGACCTATCCGAAACCCGTATTCAAGAGATTGAGAACTGCCCTCAAACGATAAAGCAGCCAATGGGTGTTGGAGAGCTGTATACTAGTATATCCTCGACAAAACAATCGGCGTTAATTCTCAATCTTGTCTAGCGAATATAGAATAGGCTCATTAAAAATTCAAGCTATTTTTCGTACGCTCATAATTTCGCAAGTAACAGCAGAATCACATGAATCACGTAATTTTCCTGGGAAATGTATGTATATACTATACAGTAACTGTGTGTAATAAACGGCAGCGTTTGGAAAACAGAAAGCATGACGATCATTCATAGTAGAAATCTAATAACTCGAATACCACGGTAACCCGAATACCCATGCGTTTTCGTTTAATGGAATTCCGGTTGTTATACGGGGCTTAGGGTCGTGTTGAATATTACCAGAATGATAATCTTGTGCATGAGATAATCGGTGCACACCTATTATTATTAGCGCCCGCTTTTGCATAGGTTGATATATTCGTGCAGGACACGCGCGGATATATTTTATATATATATATATATATATATACATATAATATGTTGTACATCGAGAGATAGAGGTTATTCCGCAAACGCTACGATTCGTCATGCGATCCTGTACACGCAATATATCAAAAAGCAGAGGCGGGCCTGTCGCGTTGCATTATGCGAGCGTCGGCGGCAAAAGCGCGAGACATAACCGCGTCCGTCGACGTCGTAAATTAGGCCAGCTGCTCGCAATCCGCTCGTGCTCGGAACGGATTAGCGTTTCGTATAATGTTGCAACGACCATTCTGTTTGTAACGCGTAACTTTGTAAAGACATTCCGAGCTCCGGTGATATCTTTCCCGAGGAAAGAAAAGACGAGAGCGTGGGACACGAAATAACGTGCGCTGGACTTTCAACTCGTTCTCTTCTTGGCATTTTCTTATTTTGCGGAAGGAATGTATGAGAAATACGACACACGCCCTTAACGCTCGGAGATATTAAAGGAACGTTTATACGGACGAGAAAGCCAAAGCGTATCCAAAGTTTTGCGCCGGAGAAATGGCTACGCGTTACTCTCTCTCCCCCCCCCCCAGAACATTACCTATAATATGCCAGATAAATAATGAATAAAAAAGATGAATAATAAATTAACCGTGATGTAATCCGTAATATCTGTTTAATGATCCGTAATAATTAGTTGTATTCAAATTGACGTTGCATTATTTCGACAATATGCACGCATGGCTTGTTGCAGTTCATACAATTCTTGATCAATTATTCAAGCAGAAATAGTACAATCTGCATAATTATTAACTTGCCTAATTAATGCGGCATCGAATTATTCGTATAATTTACTCGAGGTTCCTCTTTGTGCCCTCTTCCAATATTTTATTTTACTTCACTCGCTGTCATGCCCATTTTATACTTCTAGTGATACCCCCTGCTCTTCTATCCTAAATGATAGAGACATTAACATTCGACATTGCGAAATTGCTTAATTAAAGGCACGTCGTACGCGCCTTTACCTCCATCCAGAAGTTAAAGGGGTACGGATGGTCTTTGAATTCCTAGTCGCAAGCAATTTTTCTTCACTGTTACGTCCGACACTTTCCTAATTAACGTCTCGTTCTCGAGCTAATGGCGGCATAAGAAGCAAATGGTCACAGTAAGTAAAGAATGCACTCGAGGCAACTTCTATTCGATGATCGATACTCTTTTCTCTCTCTCTCTCTCTCTCTCTCTCTCTCTCTCTCTCTCTCCTCTCTCCTCTCTCCTCTCTCTCTCACCGTGTATTCCATGTGAATTCGCACGAATGCCGAATGCAACGATAAGCGAATTTCGATCGCCGATATACAAATGCAACATTCATGATAAGTTGTGCTAAAACCAGCCGGTTTTGCATACCGTTATTGCACACGCATGCGTTGTTTTCTCTCATCCGTCTAGTCATTTATATATCCCATTTTATAGGAAACTGCACGATGCATATCGTGTGAATACAATCGGCCGCGCTTTAATAGCGAACGATGTATCCATCTAGCAAGGTGATTAATTAAACGCTATTAACGTTTAATTGTTAATACATACAGTTAATTGTTAATATGCACTCACTATTAAGTAATTCATATTACGTTCTTCAATCAGTCTACAAACTCGATTATGCAAGTTGGATATACGTAACAATTTAATTGCTATACGGATTTTGTAGTCGCGCGCGCACGTGGTCATACTATTATTTTTATACAATGTAATTTCAAATATATTCTATAAAATAACATATTAAAATACATTGCTTAATTAAATATATTTTTTGAAAAATCTTGAATAAAGTTGATGACCTCTACAGAATTCACAATATACAGGGTATCTCATAACTATCGCATTTCCTTTTAAGGATATTATTATATACTTAAGGTAATTTTGAGATGAAAATCCCAATATAAAAATGTCGATGCTACAATAATTTTTGAATTATAATTGGCTGAAGAAAATTTATAATTCAAAAACTATTATAGCTTCGATATTTTCGTTAGGAAGTCTTAAAATGTCTCCTCTTAGAATGTTCAAAAGAATTCAGAAATAATAATAGAAGCTATAAAAGTAAAATGGTTTTTGACTTATAAACATTTAAAGTTAGCTTATAATTTAAAAAATTATTATAGTCAACATTTACTAGGATATTATAGTCAACATTTATTAGGATTTTCGTCTCAAAATTATCTCAAGAAATGTGGTAGTTGTAAGACATCCTGTATATTAATACAAAGTGTTCATATGCACACTGAGAGAAAAAAAAAATAGTTGCTATTATAAAGTACAACTCTAAAATTTAAATCCTTGCAACTTTAAAAAGTAATAAAAAAGTAGTACCAAATACTATAAAAATATAGCATTCGGTACTTTAGTTCTTATTACTTTGTAAAACTATTTGCAATTACTTAAATTATTAGAATTGTTAATTTAATAATTGTCAAATATTTTTCTCTGAGTGCAGGCAATAGAAATATGTATTAAATTAACACTAAAATCGATGGGGTGCAATGATGAATCCCCATAGGATTCCCTCCATAGGATTGAATGAATGTGTCCTTACAGGATACATCCAATTGGATACAGCAGTCAAAGTGTTAATATCGAAAATTAAAAGGTTACAATATAATAAGGTTACGGATATAACAACGGATATAACAACCTGCCATGAAATTCTCGTTAAATCGAAACAACAAATTCGAATCTATCCGCCATTGAAATTTACTGTAGTGAAAAGAGCGCTAGCGTATAGATTCTAATATAAATTGACCAGTCTGGCAAATTCGTTATATCCCGAAAAAGTACACATGCGCTCTCACACATATACAACTTTCTTGACAGTCCCTTTCATCACGCGAAAAGCGATTGATAACAAACCCTATCGCGAGCAAAGGGAATCAAAGGATCGAAAGGCCAGCTTTAATACATGGGTATAGACTCGCACTAAAAATTCTAACTTTGTCCGAAAGCAAATTTTGTTTCAAAGGGCAACCGATATCCTCTCCTCCTCCATATCTCCCCGCCCTCTCCCCCACTACTCTTCACCCTCACTACCGTTTGATCTGGCGGAATCTGGACCGCATCAGTCAATAGAGACAGCGAAACGGAATGTATGAAAAATGAATCTGAGGGGGTTAAAGCGATTCGAGCCGCATCAGATGGACGGTTTTGTTAGCGGTCGAATCGCGACAAGACACAGGAGCATTCAGTGATGGTGAAGGGGGTGAAGGGGAGGGGGGAGGAGAGAGAGGAAGGAAAGGGACGGAAGAACCTTCACAAATACACTCCGCGGTCGGCTTACGACGGATCGACCGCGCGGTCGTTGCACAGCTCGTGCGGAATATAAATGTAAACGGCAGGAATATGCGGCCAATCCGCTCACAATTCCATTCACGTCCCAACACTCCTACGTCCTGGCTGTCACCGTCCGACCAGAATCGCGCGGCGACCCCCGCGTTTCATCCCCTCCCCTCTCCCGGCTTCTGCAAATCTGCATCCCCTTATCGGAGCGAGAGTGCGTTCGGCAACCCGAAACTATGCGCGGCAGCTACTCGCGGTCGTCTAATTCAGTGCTTCTCAAATTAGGTTACGCGAGAATAAATCCATAATACACGTCAAGATTAATTTCGCCTCAGTCGTTTGCACAAAACGCATTTAAATGCATCGTCTTGTAAAGTTTTGACATAAAAGAATTTTAACGCGGTTCCACTGATACATTTTAATTACATTTATATAGTTTAATTATATTTATATATTATCTAAAAGTAACATTAATCCTTTTTATAGTTTTATCGTCATCATATATAATTACTTCTTATTATTATATTTACAATCGAATTTAATCAACTAATTTGATGCAATTAACCTTTAATTGTAATACTTAGACAGGAAAGTAAACGTTAGTCTTGCAAAGTTTGAGAAACACTGACTTGAATAGCTTGACAAATACGATGCACATTGAGGTCAGAATTTATGTATATGTACTCTGAATATTTTTATAACAGAGATTATACGTTTCGTTTGTTTCATCTACCCGATCTTCCAAATCTCTTATTCCATCCAGTGAATCATTACGATGTAGCATATGATAAATGTGTAAGAGGTAACTGAGAGCCGAGAGTTCTCCTCTCCGAAAACGACTCTCAATAAATTTACTCAACTGCGAGAAACTTTTACGTAGATACGTATGCGAACTTAACTTTGAAATTATGTATGATTGGCTCTAAAGGGATGCGTCTAAACTATAAATTTGAGCTTACCAAATGTAAATTATGATGTAAACTAATACGATGAAATATAATAAAACATAATAAATATTGTTTCGAAGTTATGGCATTTTTATGAACTTTAAATTTTCTCAGAAAACGAGAAAATGAGATGTCCGTGTGATTTCGTAAATGGAAAAGACAAAGTTTGCCGGAAAAAGTGGTAGAACGACACGTAACGCTGGAGTACTTGTGAGAGGTCTCAAAATGAATAATCTCAAGGAAATGATATTTCTAACAAACTTTTCAAATATAAAATAACGGATAGC